ATGAAGAGTCTAAACATTTGTGCTAAACACATACATCACTACATTTTCAAGCAAGAAAAGCACACTCTCACCTTACCTTTTTGCTGCACAAGGCTGGAATAAAAGTTACTGACTTATAGAAGCAACTTTCACATGTTTCTGAACATCAAACACAACACACAATATAAAATCAAAAATAACGGGAACAGAAAAGTTTTCCGTCTGACCTTAAAAATATTGAGCAAATCACTAGATGAAGCCAGATCAAAAGGAAGGACATCACACCAGCTTGTAGCCAGATGTGGAAGGGTCCCAACTGCACAGGGCACAGATGGTATAAAATGGGGGGAGGGGGCACAAAAGATCCAAAACATAAGGCAAATGGACCTGGTTCAACTTACACAGGTAAGACAGTTCTAAACAATGAATAACTTTCAATACAACTGATAAGATTTTAAACTGGGGACAAATAGTACTAGATGCCCCAACCTAAAGTCCCCTCACTGGTTTAAGGTCTCAAATTCTTTTGTGTAATAATTTAAAGGAAACCAACTTCTCAGTGAGGAGACATACAAAGTGATGGTGACTTGTTATTAAACAAATACGGAGAAGACAGTTAACGACTTTTTTTTTTTAAACCATGCAATGGTTGTGAGCCACATTAGGGTCTAAGAAATTTGGGGGAATTTAATGGATGCTCACAAAATTAATAGCTTTATATGAAAACAGAAACCCTATAATAAGTTTATTAAACTGCTCCAAGTCCTTGAATATTCTCCATTCATCATACAATGTAAAGTGCTGAAATTAACATTTTCACCTTCATTAAAAGTTGCTTCTTCGTATTAAAAAGACAAGACGTACCATTATTTTTCTATGGAAAACTTAAAAACACCATATTTACTTCATGCTCATTTCCACAATGCAGTTTCCGGTTTAACACATCCCAAATAAACCCTTGTTCCAAAGTAAAAGTTCAAGAAAAGTTCTCTGACTTCAATATTAGAAGCTGACATTTTCGTTCCTTTAAAAATCTTGCATTCCTTTAAATGAGTTGACTACTTTCTTGTAGGCAGCAACCGAAACAAAAACATTGAACACAGATTCCTTCAACCTCATGATCTCGGAAGGACACAAGAGCATAGAATATCCAAAAGGCTATTTCATTGGATATTCTAATAAGGTACATTCAACATACACATATACAATGGGACTCTAAATTTTAGTAGTAATGATGAACAAAAAAATACTGACTTCACAATGACTTCTGCTTATTATTCATGTGGTTTGGGAAATGACTTGTTTGATTTTTGGGGACACTTCTATGTATTAAAGAATCCCTCCAGTTGAGTAACAGCTTTGCTAAGCTACATTTAGAATTGACAATTAATTTTAGTGGAAATTCATTCCCAGGCTACTCTGATAGTCATTTGAACAGTTCTGCGTTATTTTACATGCAATTTTATAGCTCTATAACGTTCATTTAATCTTGTTCAATGATGCTGAACCCCAGATGCCATAAGACATTATAGAAAAGCAGTTACTGCACATATGGAGTAACTACTTTTTTCTGAACATTAATTTCTTTTCTCTTAACAGGCTGAAATGGTATTTAGAAAAGAGAAAAGCCACCACTCTGTATTAAAGGTTTTATATTATGGACTTCCAGAGATGGGCTACCTATTACTGCTGTGGTCCTAGCCATAAAGTCCTTATTTATGAGCACCATCTACTCAAGTCTTGGTGATAATGGCTTTCTCCAGTCTTCATAATATTGTTAGTATTATACAGTCAAATCATGTCACCTGAGAGAGCTTGGGGGGGGGTGGTGAAGGGAGGAGGAACCTCCTCATTTGTCATATGAGGGGGTTGGATAATCAGGGTTTCTCAAAGTGAGGTCTAAAGACCTCAGCATTAGAATCACTGCGGCGCTTGCTACAAATGCCGACAGCCAGGCCTTCCAGGCCTACTGAATGAGAATCTCAGGGTTAGCGTACTGGAGACATCCACATAATAAGTAAGCACCCCAATGATCCTTCTGCATGCGAAGGTTTGAGAAGCACTGGTAGATGATCTCAAAGGTCCCTTCCACTCTAGAATTCTATGAGCCTGTGAGTTTTCCTTTAAAAACGGAGCCATGTCAGTAAGATGAAAGTATCTCTACCACACAGTAGGGTGACTCATAGCCTGAATGGCTCAACCTAAATAAGAAGTGTTCTTAGATTTTGATGCATACGGAAGAATAACAGAAAACAAAAACAGAACAGTATAATCAGATGTGTCTGGAATCTCTTTGGGCTTTTTGCTCCTGGGAGAAGTAGGAGGAACCCATTCTACTTGCTATACAGGAGCACAGCGTCTCAAAGGGACTTTTCACTGCACCTCGATCCCTATCTTTTTACTCTTCATCCTCTGACTCCTCCCAGCTGTTGAGGCAATTATCTGGGGTTTTTACAATCCTGAGACACCTAAGTTGTAAGCAATTTTTAATTGATCAGAATGTATTCTTTTAAGAAATAAACCATATACAGGCAGTCCTCTACTTTCATTTGCAATGAGTGAAATCTTACAAAAGTGCACAACGTAGAAATGGTGAACCAGAGATGCATCTTTCAAGGGGAGTTGCATATTCAAAAAGCTAAAAAATACACAAAATTCTAATTTTTGTTCTCCTTTTGGGCACAACATTTGATGAAATATTTCCGATATTTCCTACATATTCACGTATTTCGTTCTTTCTCTTCACAACCTGTTGTCTTGCTGATAGGCCCAATGAGAGCCTAAGACTTGAGATTTTTTAGCACATCTAGAGAGTTTTATCCTGGCCTTATTTTTATAAGGTGTATGAGACCTCAACTTATTATTGCTAGTATCATTTTTACATTTTCTAATCACATTTTTATAAAACCCTAAGAGCAAAATGCAGTAGAATCTTACAATAATCACACAAACATAGCTGGATAAACACTGAGCCAGAACCGTTGGCTGGAAGGCAGCGCCACCATGTGACCACTCCGAATGCTGTCAGCCTTGTGTAAGCACAAAAGTTGGGAGCCTCGAAGAGCGCAGCACCTAATTGCAAAGGCCCTCTTTTGTCATAATCGGGTTATTTTCAAACACTGCACTGTAATGCTACTTCAGTCACTGAGAGTGACTGATGAGCTACAACAAGGACTTCCGATTATGTACAGTCATATCAGTGGCTAGACCGGATCAGATATTTAGTTGGTGATCAGGGTGACCTCTTGAGGGAGGAGGGGGCGGTCAGGTTGACAGACTGAATATTCTCAGTTTAAGGAGGCTTGGACTGGGATATAATCTATAGACTTCAATGCCCAGCGCTGTTGCTTTCTAGGCTTATGTCCTTTAACAAGAGACAGATTTGGTCAAGGCTTGACTGGCACACTCTACAGTAAAACCTGTGAAAGCTGGAAACTGTGTAAGGTGGAAACCTGTAAGAGAAGGAAAATTCAAATATTTTCCACTAAAACGGGCAATAAAAAAGCAGTAAGAATGACCCTGGCAAAGGTGGAAAATTTAGGAAACCTGGAAAAACAAGGCAGTCCCATTGAGTTCCGGCTCTCACAGGTTTCAGTGTATATTGTATCCACCAGACCCAATTATACCAAAGTTTCTTTCAACTATGAAGTCTTGTACTGTGTGTATAGTGTAGACTTGAGCTAAATTCAAGAAGAAGGCTAGAAGTTTAGAGCCAATCTAAACTTATTTAAAGTCTACTAGAGTCGTGTTTTCTTACCCATCAACTGTACCATACATTCAATAGCAATGTTAAAATAAATGTACATGTTAATTGTAAATTATACCTTCATTTTAGAAACGTGAAAAAGTGGGAGGAAAAGGAAATCTTAACACTGACTAAGTCAGCACTTCAGAAAGTGCCTATGAAAAAAACCAAAATGTAGACAAGTTATTTTAAACGGGGATTATTTGTCTTTTTTTGATAAGTATAACTTTCCTGATGTAAGCAAGCGCCTGCGACATGACAACCTGGGAATACTGCGAGGAGAAAGAGCATATTGCTTTCAATCAGATTTCCTGGCACTGAATCACAGACCCTGAGGATCACAAAGACAAGCAAGTGAGCTCTCTGGCTTCTGCGTGGCTCTTTGCCGGGAGTACAAGGCTGCACCTGCAAAGACCTGGCTGAAAAGAGCAGACTCTACTCAAAGTTAGCACTTTCCCCAGCCCTGGCCAAGGTTGGTAAGCCGCCCTAACGCAAAAGTCACATGCCACACAAAATATTTCCTTGTATCTCAGAAAAGTATTAGCTTCTTTAATGTAAGAAGGTAATGAGAGGTTTTTAAACTGATTAAATCAGCTTAGTTCATACAAAGTCTATTATGAACTAAATATTCAATTAAAACAATTTCCAAAGCAAAATCTGACAAAATCCTCTCTTAAAAGTAATTTAAATGATAGGTTCTTAACATTAAGCAAATTAAATTCTTCTCACAGTATTTTCTAAAGGGTCAGAAACAGTTGCAAAAGTTTACTGAGACAAGATCTACGTTATGTGCTAGTCATATTCCATGACCGTAAACAACAGAAACTAGGAAAAAAATTAATGTGAGCCTAACATTCCTATTTATTTTATTTCTTTTACTTCAAAGGCTACATACATGCAAAAGTTGAACACGTCATCACAAATGCTTTAAATAAATTCAAAAATAAAAATACGTCAAAATCCATTTGTTTATGGAAATATATATGACAATTACAAAGAAGGTAAAGTCAATTATATCCTTTTTTCTAATCTATCAGAAAAATACTTATATTATAAAAAAGAACTTTAATTCGTGTCCAGAATAACTTTTATAAATTCTTGATGAATAATTTAAAAACAAGTTGGATGTTAGTACAAGGTTTAGAGAAACAAGTCCGAGGCTTTGGAGAAATGGGTTGGATATCCTCATACCCCATTTTGAAATCACTGAAAAAACTCAAGTTTAGAAACAAAGTGTTTTTTTTTTTTTTTTTTTTTTTAAGTATGATCATTATTATTATGGTTGATGTGGTTAGCAGTGAAAATGAAGGGCACAACTCTCATAAATAGATATTGTTGAAAGTCCTTTAAAATGTGTGAATGGAGAATTTTATTTGCAAACACTCGCTGGAGGCTTGAAGTAACCTCGCCTCTTCTGCTGGTCAATACTGCAAGAGGAATTAAGGATCCTGGATACAAGGACAGTCTGGGTGTGTGGCCCTTTGGTGAAATGTATAAGCACACGCTAGCTCCTAGGACTCCAAAAACAAGCCCACAGGAGGAAGCGTCTTCAAAGAGCCCTGCCCTTATTCAGGTAAAAGCAGCCAGAGGCTTGGCAGAGTCCAGAGGCAACGGGTGCAGTCTGAGCACGTCTCAATGCTCCGGAGGGTGGCCAGTTCCTTCCACTAAAACTAGTTATTTCTTCGGTGGCATGAAGCAATGCATATCATCAATTCCAATGATTCATACGAACAGAAAGCACTCAAAGCTCAACTTTATGAAGGTTCAGAGTCACCCTGCAAATGAGATTTAACTTCCTGCTCCTAAATACAAAAATGGGGAGGGGGAAGCTGCCCATCTGGAAGACTATCGATTATCGGAAACTACATACGATGTGGACAGGAAAAGGGGACTATTTAACAAAATGTGTTAGCACTGATCTGTAAAGCCCTAAGTGGGTACACACGTCCGAATTCAGAAGAAGCTTTACTCAAACGATTAAAACATCGCCTCCTCTTTAAATCAGAAAAACCAGGTCTCCTATTGAGAGGAATCCCTTGCCAGCACTCTAAGCCTTGCTTTGAAAAGGCCAATTGAAATTTTAGTTAAAAATATTTCCACAAAGGGTCAAAAAACCTAGAATTTGATTTATATTCTGATACTGAATTGTGATTATAGTTGTCAGGTTAGGCAACTCAACTATTATTTTTCTTTTATCATTTAAAAAAAAAAAGTTTTAAAAAAGAAACGAGAAAGTGTGTGTGCTGTCAGTGCAAAATCAGATTAAGAATGGTTTTTCTTTTCCCTGGGACAGAAAAAACAATGCCCAGCACATAGTATGTAGGAATGTCACAACAAATACGCAGAAGACAGGTTTCACCAAGCTAGTATTCCTCCACATACAGCATGGTTTTCAAAAGCAGAATTGTCACGATTATGCATATTCTCATTAACTAGGTATAGAAGAGCTACTTAAAGGGAAACCAATTTCTTGTGCCTCAATGAAAGAGGAGTATAGAAAACAATAATTAGACTGAATAAGGAATTAAAAAGGGGGAAAAAAAAAGAATCAGAGTGAAAAGAACAGAGAATTTAGAAAGCCAAAAAGAAAAAAAAAAATAAAGCAAGTAATGTGACCATAGAAACCCACACAATCGCCCCTGCCCCCACCTGCCACTTTGAGTGCTAATTGCCCCATCTGCAAGGACAGAAAACCACTCTAAATGGACCAGCATCGAGAGCTTCGGCAAGTCTTCTCTTCACTCCCTCCTGTTAAGACCGTTTCCAAAACCAATCAGCAAAGGACAAAGAATTCTTTACAGAGTGCAATTAGTGTTTTCCACGTCCACCTTCAAAAGCATGATGCTCTTCATGGGCTAAAGGACAGAAAAAAAACAAAAAAGAAAAAAAGGAAAGAAAACTTTAAGCAAAGGATGGGGCAACCCTCCTCTAGGCATCTCATTCAGTTTCCCCAAATGTTGGCAAGACCTCAAATACCTTTTTGCCAGTAACTGTTAGCTAAGGCGTGCATTTCCTGAGAAACCTAATAATGAAAATTAAAACAAGGAATAAACAAGCAGTGGGCATGCTGCCTGTTGCTTCTTGCTGTGCCCAAAAGGATGAGTCATCCTGACAAGTTGATGAAGACAGTATGTTGGGCTGTAGGCAAACGCTGCAGGGAAAAATGCACCCCACAGAATGCATGGGGGGGGGGGCCTCAAGTTACCCAAGGCAGGGCCCTCCAAAAGTCTATCTTTAAAAACAAAATAAAATAAATAAAACCAAACAAAGACCAACATAAGGGTGGTAGCAATTACATTATGCCCTCCTCCACCTCTGAACGCCCACTCTGGGAAATGACATTTCATAAAACGGATGGGTCCCCCCACCCATCCTCAGTTGGGTTTTTTCTTCAGTGGATTTGCAGCTCTATTGTCTGGCTTACACAATTACTAATTACAATTAGGAATGCTAGAATTAAAAAATTAAGCTACCAAAAATATTTCCACAGGCTTGCAGTTTTTTAAAGTGGAGGGTGGGGGGTGGGAGTATTATCAGGAAATACATAACATTTCCTCCAAGGCAAAAGGGCCTAGTTCGAAAATCTACTTTCTTGACCTGGTTAACCATCATGAAGCAAGGTCAGGATCCTCGTCTCTTCAAGTTGAAAAGCTGCTCAGGCTTGGGTCTGATACAGCCCAGAGTGACTCAGGATCTTGGGTGCTGTACTCCGCCCACCCAATCTCTACCCTCACCAGCCATGAGCTGCGTCCTCTAGGAGGACAAAGATGGTGGAGGCCTTTTTAACTCTTAAAAAACCAGTTGCCGTCAAGTCAATTCTGACTCATGGCGACCCCATGTGTTTTGTCAGAGTAGAACTGTGCTCCATAGGGTTTTCAGTGGTGGTTTTTCTGAAGCAGACGGCCAGGCCTTTTTCCCAAGGCACCTCTGGGGGGACTTGAACCTCCAATCTTTTGGTTAGCAGCCAGCTGTGTCTGGCCTCCAGACTACTGCTGGGGGTCGGGGTGGGAGTAACTATTTTCCCTTCAGGATCATCCTGGATGTTTATTTACCCCAATCTACCCTTCCTTGGATAAACCACTGGAGGAGGGCCACGTTATAGCCTGAGGGTTACCCCGGGTCTGCCAAATTCCTAGAGTGGCCTGTAATCTGACCTAATTTAAATGAGCATTTCTCACAGCTATGACTATACAGATATTTCACTTTTTATGATTTCTTTTTAAAGAAGTATTTTTAGGGCAGATGCTAAATAAAATGTGGTCTGCTCTGCAATAAAATATACAGTCCAGTTGGGTCAAGCAGACGAGCCATAGAATGGTTGTGATGCTAGTCTTCAAATTATAAATCAAGAAATATGGGCTGTCCAAAGATTTTTATTACTTCTAGGTGTGAGGGACAGTCTGGGGTGGTCAGAGTTGAGACACTGAAATACTACCATTTTGAAAAGTTATGGAGATGGTACAACAGAACATTCAGAACTGAAACTATCCTGAGAAATGGAGGAAGTTCTGTCAGCCTTTGTTTAGAGTCAGTAGAGAGGGAATAAAGAAATGCTCAAAGCCAGGGGTTGGCAAACTTTTTCTGCAAAGGGGCACAGTAAATATCTAGCCTTTGCAGGCCATATGCTCTCTGTAGCATCTATTAACTCTGCCATCATAGCATGAAAAGCAGCCACAGACAACATGAAAAAAATGGGCATGGCTGTGCAGCAATACAACTTTATTTATGGACACTGAAATTTGAATTTTATATAATTTCTACATGTTACAAAATATCCTTTTTTTGATTTTATTCCCCCCAAAGTTAAAGAATGTAAAAGCCAGCCTTAGCTGTGGCTGGTACTAAAACACACAGGTGGAGATAGGTGGGGGTGCAGATTTGGCTCTCGGTCTGTAGTTTGCCAACCCCTGCTCTGAACAATTCTCACATCAGAAAACCCGTTTGTCATTCAGCTGCTCTGAAGAGTTTAAGAGAATTTGGGAGGATCTCTTAATAGCCTGAGCTTCTCAGTCAAATAATCAATCTGTATCTAAATCGTATGTAACTTATTAGTAGCCCCACCCTCACCCCTCTGCTGGAGGCCTTGACCAAATATGCTTAGGCTCTTCCTACATGCGAAATCTACCTTGTCACCTAGCTCCTGTAAATTTGTGACTTCTTAAACCAAGATCCCGGTCACAAGACAAAGTAAAAGCATGAAGTTGGCCACTTCTAACTTTGCTCACCCTGAGACTAATCTTCATCATGCTGTGAATGAGGTTTCTGCCCCAGCCTCATTCTTCAAAATTAATTTTGCAGCGCGTGGTGCACTACCCTATCGAGTAAAGGACTGCCTGCTTACACAAAATAGAGAATTGCTTGTTTTTTCCAATCCAAATTGTTATTTGAAAAACGTTTGAGCTTTTAAATGCTAATTTATTCCATTAAAATATGGATTTCTACTGAGACCTGTAGTGGTTCTACATGACTCATGAATTTATAATGGCATCTACCTTTAGGGTGTCTATTCAGCTTGATTCATCTGGTCAAACTGTACCTCTTTTTTTCCCTTGTTTGGCTTTTCTCTTCCCCCCAGCAATCACAATAGCTAGTTACTAAGCAGTGAATCACCCTGCCCTTGTTCAATCTTACCTGATTAATGCTATGGCCCTAAAACTAGCCTAGCCACTCTGAGGTCTAATTAGCTAATAAAACACTCATATGAGCTTGCAGCTCACCAACATGTTACCTGGACATTTAATCATAGAATTTTAAAGCAGAAGGAACCTTGGAGATCATCTAAGACCAACCTCCTCCATATTCAGATGACAAGTTGTGACTTGCTCAAGGTCACTGCTGAAGTGGGACAAAAGTCCAGGCTGCTGGCCTTCATTACCCCAACTTTAAATCTAAAATTGCCTTTCTCTTCTTTTGAGTCAACACAATGAGAATGTGGACCCAGTTCATAGGTGGTAGAGAATGTTTTAGTCCCTTCCATAACTGGCAAAGAAACTCATCTCCTTTCTAGAGAGTTTCTGCCAGTCAGTCTTGTGGAGTTGAAAAAAGAAAAAACTCTTGGTGACCTTTCAATTAATATCTGGTTTGATAATACAATTAATGTTCCCTAAGGGATAGAAACGGCATCTACAAATCTGCAATTTCCACACTGCACAGTCAATAAGCCACTTCTGCAGAGCCATCTTTCCAGAGATTTTATCCAAATTTGCATTTAAAATTCAGAAGCTCAGCACCTGCTGAATATCTGCAGTGCCAGAGCAGTCTGATTGCTGAAAACCTACATGATTTGACCTGTGATTGTATGATTCCTTACAGGGAGGCTTTAGTTTTAATTCCTCTATCATACTAGGACAATTGAGAAACAAAATTTAATTTTTTCTCCTTTTTGGCAAGGGGTTGGGAAAAGTGAAGCAATAATGAAAGTGAGAAGAATATACTCTATTTCAACAATTCTAAGATGCACTCTCCCCCCTACCCCCAAATTTGAGGTGCTCTGGAATTAATAAAAAGTCAGTTTAATTGGGAGCCTTTATTTTTCTTTCTTAGTAATGCTAAAATAATGGGGCATCTTATATCATCAAGGGCATCTTAGATTTGATGAAATACAGTAGTAAAAAAAATTCGGTTATTGACTCGAACAGCTTGGAAAATAGGACATTTATCATATATGTGCAGGGCTGTCAATTCTTGTCTGTAACTCATTGTTAAAAGCGTAACCTGCAATTTGATCTACCAAATATTGGTTTAATAGCACTAAGCTGTTTTCATTATGAAAAAGATGACTTTTTAAAGAGAGCACACAAAAGAAATGAACATGAATCGTGATGGAAACAATGGGTCCACACACCTATTCATACCGTTGTTAACATTTCACCGCTATGCGTGAATTCTCTTTCCATTCTGTGTCACAGCATTAGTAATGAGGAAGTATTAGCATTTCAGTAGAACATTCAATCATCCCTGTGCTCAGAACAAGTTTCCTCCCAAAATACAGATGTTATACATTACAAATTCCTGTTTATGAAGGGATGATTATCTACCTGCCAGCTCACATAATAACATTTTTGTTATTATTGTTTCAAATAGAATGTAATTTTTTTCTTTCTGAGAATGACAAATTGAAGATCAGGTTTAGATTTCTGAAACAACAAATACAATATATATTCTCCTTTTCTGATCCATGCAGTTAGGCGAAATAAAATCTCATTTTAATTTCCAAGACTAAACTTGTCTTTCTTTTTTTTAAAAAAAACACTTCAGTGTATTTTATTGAACTATGTTCTAATTTATGGAATTTCAAGTGATTCTGCCTTCACCTCATTTGCAACACAGTTTCTATTTTTGAAAGTATGATAGAATAAGCTAGAAAGTAATAACTGAAAATAAAGCACTTACGTTTATAAAATACTGCTTTAAAAGATATGTGGGGCAGAAGTTCATAGATCTTTTCTAAAACAGTCGCTTCACCCACTAAAGAGGCATTTACATTCCAGACTTGGACGACATCCTCTCGGTCACGAACGCTGACACTAACTCCTATTACTTCGTCATCTGAGGGGAGGACGGAAGAAGAGAAATGAGTGATAATTTTTAGTCAGCCTGCACTGTGTTTTAAGCACTTATCATTTTATCTCTAAGTTATTGATAAGATGAAACAATGAAGCTGGCACAAGAGAAATCGTCACAAATGCTTGTTTCTAAGGAGAATCGTTGGAAAAAGCAGGTTAGTGTACACGGGCGGCAGCAGTCACATCACATTTATCCAGAGACTTCGATAAACAAAGTGTTCCAGCCAAATGAGTTTTCCAAAGAAGTCATTTATCCGTTTTAACATGTTACCCTGTTTTGATGAGACTCTTTCTAAAATGGGTTGCATAATTCCCTGCACTCTGAAAGCCAAGTGGACTCAAATGAACTTTTCCTCGATGCCTTGCTGCCTTGGTTAGAACAGTGAGTATTTAGCCTGACTCCCTGCCAAGCTTTCAGATACCTTTAGAGTGGTTATTGCTATTTGTCCCAACACTAAGTGGACCCAAGCTATGTCTTTCGAGCTGCTTATTCTGTATTTGTGGTTTGCTTGTCTGCTCCTTTCCTATGCATTCTTCCTGCTCTTGGGTGCTTCCCTCTAGTAATCCTCCTTCCGGTTTTGTGCTTTAACTATGGGCTAAGGAATCAAGCAACGTATGTTAGCACTCTGCGGAGAGTAAGTATCTTCTGAGTTTGGGTCTGCTATTATAGTACTTGGAGGCCCCTGGGTGGAGCAAACGGTTTGCCCTCGAATACTAACCTAAAAGTTGCTGGTTCAAACCCAGCTGGCAGCGCCACGAAAGAAAAGCCTGGCAATCTGCTTCTGTGAAGATTACATATGAAAACCATACGGAGCAGTTCTATTCTGTGACACCTGGGGTCGTCATGAGTTGGAACTGACTGAACGGCAGTGGGTTTGGTTTTATTATAGTACTTCAGTGAATGGACGTTAACACATTTATCTGCATTAATTAATGCTGTCTTTTTTTAAACTAAATTCTGGATTTGGGGCTGCCTTGACTTAAGAAAGGAGGAGCCCCGGTGGTACAGTGGTTAAGCACTCGTCTGCTAATCGAAAGGTCGGTGGTTTGAACCCACCAGCCACTCCATGGGAGAAAGATACGGCAATCTGCTTCCGTAAAGATTTACAGCCTTGGAAACCCTATGGGGGCAGTTCTACTCTGTCCCATAGGGTCGCTATGAGTCAGAATCAACTAGACGGCAATGGGTTTGGTTTGGGTTTTGGGTTTGACTTAAGAATGGTGGCTGGATAAGTGAGGTTTGGTTGTACTGTTACATGCTCCCTTTTAGCCATTCTTTACATGAATTTGCAGTGAAAAGTATAGACTGTGACATCTGGCTTCACAGGTTCATGACACGTAATGAAACAGGGACAGCCCTCTGCACTTGCATACTAGGCATCAGTATGTCAAAGCGGAAGATAAGCATGATCAAAATTAAGGAATTTTGCCTTAGTTAACATGCTTTGCCTAACTTGCCAAATTTGCTAGCCTCTGTAAATCTACATATTTATGTCATCAGTTTGTTCAGTCATCCTCTGGAGGTTAAAACATTCTAGTATTTTGATGCAATTTAAGTAAGGACATGTCCAATTTACTGAAAGAAATCATCTTGAGTAAAATAATTCCTTTCTTTCCTCCATCCTTCCCTTCCTCCCTCTCTTCCATCCTTCCTTTTTAAACGAATTTGGTCCTGGCTAAATGTGTATAACTTGACACTAAATGGTCCATTTACATAAATGTTCAAAATCAGGCAAAATTAAGCTATGATGTTAGAAGTTAGATTGGTGGCTACCTTTGCGGGGAGGGTAATGACTGGAAGGGAGACCAAGCAGGAGGGTGCTGGGGGGGACTGATTACATTCTGCAACGTGATCTGGATGGTAGTTTACTTCGTGAAAATTTATCAAGCCACACATGTATAGTCTGTGTACTATTCTGCATATGTGTTATACGTGAATAAAAAGTTCCAAATAAATAAATAAATAGTACCTGATCATGTCCATCCAGAGAAATTTATTATCCCATCAGGGATGTTTTATGTGCATTTATTTTTAATTTATACTTTAAAGATATACTTGTTAGAACTCAGCATAAATTTTATGTGAAAATAAAATAATCAAATAAAGATGGAAGCTTTACAGTTTACCACTTTCAAGAATGACTGTGAAATCCCCAGATCAGCCTTTCAGGGAAAGAACAGTGTTTCCCCATCTTCCAATATTGTTCCTTTCTGCCTTGTTGGTCAGAGGGCGCTATAACTGATGGATTCTGAATAGGCTGATCTGTTAATATTTCAGTTTAGCTTGGCTTTTGGTAACTAGCTTGGCTTTTAGTAGGCACAGCCAGGGGACCTACTAGCACAGCCCTTTTGAAAACTGCAGAATAAGAAGGCTGCAACTTTTATGCAAAGGCAGACCCATCAGCAATCATGTAATATTCATAAGTAGAATCAACCAGCAAAATCTTGATCATTTCAGTGTACTGGCTGCATAAGACTTTAGAACTAGGAGGAGACCTGTTAAAAAATGAGGGGAGTGCAGTGGAGACAGGTTAGCTGACTTGTTTAATGCTGCACAGCTAGTTAATGGAAGAGCTAGTGGTTGACAGTTAATGGTGCTCCAGCTTCCTAACTCAACCACAGAACAATAGATCTGCTTTACTCAATACTGGTTTATTTGTTATTACTTAGGGTATTTTCTCTAGTTCTGGAAACAGGCATAATTCATACAGAACACTTCCTCTCCCAGGGATTTATGTATTTATAACTACACAGGATACATATTGTGAAGTTGCTAACTACTCTCTATTAAGACAGAAGAAATCTGTATTTTCAAGACAATTTCATCTTACCTAGGCTTAAGAGAATAAAAAGTGGTGTAAGAAGTAAGCAAAATCAAAGTGGAACTATTGAAATTGCTAGTGAGATAAATTTGAAACTTTCCGTGGGATTGGCAAAGCCTACAGGCCTTCCAAAGAAGCCTGGGTGGCACAAGGAGTTTGCAATCGGCTGCTAAGCTAAAGGCTGGCGATTCGAACCCACTCAGTAGCTCTGCAGAAGAAAGACTTGGCAAACTACTTCCAAAAAGATTCCAAAAACCAATGAAAGCCAATGCCATCAAGTTGATTTGTACTCACAGCAACCCTATAGAATAGAGCAGAACTTCCCCATAGGGTTTCCAAGGCTGTGATCTTTATGGAAGCAGACTGCCACATCTTTCTCCTGCACAGTGGCTGGCTGGTGGGTTCGAACCACCAACCTTTCCATAAGCAGACAAGCACTTAACCACTGTGCCATCAAGGCTTCTTCCATAAAGGTTACAGCCAAGAAAACTCTATGGAGCAGTTCTCCTCTGTACCACACAGGGTCGCCATGAGTCGGGGGCCCGACCAGGCAGCAGCTAACAACAACAACAGGGCTTCCAAAGACAGCACCATGTAAGAAGTCTGAGGGAAAATTACTCAACATCAATGAGTCATCAACATCAACGAGTCAAAAAAAAATTCTAAACTGAAAGTGGCACAGGAAAATATTATTCTAAATGGTACCTCAGGAGCATTCAGAAGAAACTACCCAAGAAGAAAACAAATTTTTAAACAAGCAATTAAATTCTCCTCTTCGAGTGATTTCATGATCAAAACAAAACAAAACAAAACAAAAAGTACTCACGGAGGCTGTTGGAAATTCACTCGATATTTGAAAATGGTTTCCAAAGTCAAGTCATTAAGGCCTTGGTGTTTTGGCCTCAACTGCAGGGTCATGGATAATTATGGTGATGGCATCCCTGCCTATCCCTGAAACCCGCTTTGAGGCAGGGGACCAGGGCGGTAACCGGAAGAAGGCAAAGGACTGAGAGAGCCAGAAAGGGCTACGTCTGCCTCACTGGACACCTCAGGCCCTACTGGAAGATTTGAAACAAGTAAAGGAAACCTGTTACTAATTGTGTTAAGAACCCAACTGATGTCAAATTTTTCTTTTCTTTATTCCTATTTATTTTGGGCAGATCATTATGGACACTATTAAGTTGAGCTATGAGGCAAAAATATGATATGTATATACATATATGTATATAATATATACATATGCATACATATATACACACACGTATGAGATGAAGCAAAGATATTTTCAAGTCCTATGTTTTATGATCTGATATTTTTATCTCTACCCCTAAAAGAGAGGTTGGCGAATTATAGCCAACAGGCCAAATTCAGTCCTCTTCCTGCTTTGGAAATAAAGTTTTAATGAAACACAGTCACGCTCATTCATTTATATGCTGTCTCTGGCTGTTTTCATGCTATAATGGAACAGGTGAGTAGCTGCAATAGAGACTGTATGGCCCCCAAAGCCTAAAATATTTACTATTTGGTCCTTTATAGAAAAAGTTTTCCAACTCTTGCTCTAAGATTTTACATATGTTGATCCATATGTTTCAGCTGCTTAAGTTTCTGGCTGCTTCATAACTCTGCAGTTTGAAGGATATTTCTTTGTTATACTTTATAAAACTAACTGCTAATTTGATTCAAATACTTAATCGTACAACTGCAGTTACAGTGGTAGCAAGGAAGTTTGGGAATGTGACTATATCTACAGAGCATTCTAGAATTCCGACGAAGAAGAGTTAAAAAACAAACTTATCCCCCTCAGTGATGACCTTTCAGTAGATGCTAAACACACGCACACAAACACATCCCCCTACCACCACCACCAAACACCACAATCACATAAAAAAAATCTAAGTAACTTTGTGGTTACAAACAACTTCAAAACGTGTGAACAGTCACTCACTCACACACACACACACACACACACACACACACACACAACCTTCCGCAAGTACCAAGCATGAGGTAAACACACATAGACGGGCGGAGCTGCGTGCTTCTTTACCTGCTGCGGCACAATCTGTGAACTGTTCCCCGATAGTTGCTAACAGCAACTCTTTCCAAACTGTGGACTGATGTGAGAAAAGAGTAAAAAACAAACAAAACAAAACAACACATACACAGTTTTAGACAATGATCTTCAGGAGCTAAACAAGTCTTACTTTCCACAGTTTAACATGCATTTCCCTGTCCACATCCGGAGCCCGGAGACAGCTCCTGATCATAGGTGCAAACACTTACGATAATAGCATTTGTCTTACTGGTTTACAAACAACTTTCGAGAGATAGATAGAAGTGATCGAAAGTCTTAAGGTCGTTAATCTCTACTGAAAACCCTGATAAAAGTTCAGAAGAACAGGGAAAAACGCATTCAAATGATTTATAATTTCCCAATTTCTTTACCTTTCACTGATTCAAAAAGTATCAACTGATTATATTTAAATGACATTAATAAAATCTTTCTCTTCAAAACCTTTTATCCTTCTTTCTCTCTTTTCAGCTTATAACATGCTTCAAAAGTCACACAAGTAAAGAAATTAAGGAAATTTCTGGCTTACTGAATACTAAAAAACCCAAAAAAACCAAACCTATTGCCGTTGAGTCAATTCCAACTCATAGTGATCCCATAGGACAGAGTAGAACTGCCCCACAGGGTTTCCAAGGAGCAGCTGGTGGATTCGAACTGCCTACGTTTTGGTCAGTATCCAAACTCTTAACCACTAAGCCACCAGGGCTCCTACTGAATACTAAAGGCTTGCAAATTTGCATTCCTTTGCGGCATTGTTTATACTAAGTGATAGAACTTTATGTGTGCATGTATGCATTTCCCCAAAGAATGAGTGCATGCTGTGGTCGACCACTGAGGAAAAACTGGGGTTCCTTCTACTCAAGATCTACTAATGCCATCCAGTCAACAGCCAGCATCCACTCACAAGTAACTGGAGGGCTGTAAGTTCTTCCAGTTATCCCCCTTGGAAAGTTCTTGGTCCCACTTACCCTCCTTGTCATAGTTTACAGACTCCAAAGTCTCCCAGAACTGGGTTTGAATCCTAACAGGCTGCTTACTGTCTGTGACCCAGAGGTGGGTCATCAACCTCTCTGAGCATCAGCTTCCTTATGTGAACGAGGAGCTAATAATAAGAGCCAACTTCCCAGGGGTTGTTGTGAGCATGCAATCAATCAATTAATGCATTCAAAGGGCTGAGCAAAGCCCTTTTTTTTTCTCTTGCAACAAAAGGGCTCAACATTATTCAAGAGCCATTCCATAAATATTTGTGTGCTTGCTATAAGCCAGGTGCTCAATACATATCAACTGTAATCTGAGTGTTTACTATTATGTTCTAATGAACTGAAAGCAGTCCAGCTGAATTTTTAACCAAGGCGATGGTAGTTAACCTGAGAGCTGAAGAGTGACAAACCACCCTCAGGGTGGTTTCCTCCCTCTTGCCTGGAGCCTCCCTTCTGGTCTACTTGTCTGGCATCTAGAAACCACCCCTTGCACATTCTGTCTGTCCCCATGGCCTCCTACATTGTTAGTGATGAGGGGGAGGGAGGGGAGGTTAGGGTGGCGAGCGCTCACTCTCCTGTCTGAATCCCACTCATTGACCCTTAAGAGTGGGCTGAACTGCTTGGGATGAGGGCCCTTGTACAGACGTGAAAGCATTATTTGTAACTGAGCGTGGCCGAGTGCGTTCATAAGGAGAGAAAGGACAAAACTGCCTTTCAGCCAGTTTTCAACTGATGTTGACATCACGATTGTTTCCACTGCAACTCAAAGTCTACTGTGACTAAACGAGTGTGGAAAGGCAAAATGTGTTCCTACTGAAATTAAAAAAAAACACTTAAATTCTCTCAGTCTCTTATATTCTCTGCTTTCTTTTCCTTTTGGGGTATAAAGGGGTCTTCATACACTTTGCCTGGTTTGTTATTTGCTTCCCTAATGTTTTTTATTACGTACACCAAATAACAATCAGACTTGGAACTATACATCTTGACTAACGGTTTGCACCTTTAACAAATAAATCTGGCCATATCTTGAAGTATGTGCTTATAGGGGAAGGACTGCAGCTCAAGCATCTGGGTCTCTGAAGACATTTCAATTCTCTGAGTTAATCCACATGAAAGAAAACATGCAAAGGTGAGACAGGGTGATATTTGCCCTTTCATCCATTTTCAAAGAGGCTTTTTTGGTTTCCCAGGACTCAAGATAACAGATTTAACAGATTTTAATGTCCATTTCAGTCAATACAATGAATTAGAGCTCGAGTGGATATGCCAAGGATAAAAACCACTCCCGGAAAATGGTGGTTTCTGAGGGAAGGGAGCTGGGCACAGCCTCCAAGTGAAACCCCAAACGATGGCCACATGCCAAGGCTCCAGTCACCCCCACTCCATGGCTGCCCTGCTCACTCTCAGAACTGTTTCTGGCCCCCAGTGGAGGAGGGATGAGCTTTGGTGGGAAGGATCCTGCTTCCCACGATGTAAAACCAATTCCACACTCTTAGTTATAGCTGGTGAGGAAATGGCCATCATAAGGCTAATAAGCTTTTCTGTAAAGTTTATTGGCTTTTCGCTCCTGCAGACGACATGACACAGTCACATCAAACCATTTCTATAGAGAAACACAATGATATGTTTTCAAGGTGACAGTGTAAGGCAGAAACCACCCAGATCAGACTAGAATTTCTCACCCACCGTCCTGTTCTGATCACTAGGTGGGCTGCTAGAAAAGCACAAAATGTTCACCACCTGCAGGCAACAAGAGCCCGGAGCTCAGCCAATTCTAGAAAGTGGCCAGAACCAACATACCGTGCTGTCCTTGGGAACTTTCATTTTCCATACACCGCCCTTCGCATTACTCTCCTCTTCCCTGGATCAAAGACAAACGTTTAAAGTTATACTCATGGATTAAGTAGTTCCACATACATTTAGAGCAAGTATTTCCTCATCTGTTTAGTTGGACAATAGGTTTAAATGACTTTAAAAAAAAACAATCGGGCATTCTTCAATAAACTCTCCCCCAGTTCTTTCGTTGGAAACAGAAGCGGGAGGGATGGAGAGGGGAAAAAGCAGAATTCCATAGCCACAAGGGCAAAGAGGATGAGGGAACAAAAGGTCTTCATCCTGAAGGAGGGGATGTGGGGAGGCTCCCTGGATTATCTGGGCTTGGGAAGATTAATACAAGTGCTTCATATATGTGTGACATGCTCATGGCACGTGTGATGTGTTCACGACACTGCCTTGTTTGATTCTCATACCAACCTTGTGTCACAGACCTAACCGGTGACTGCCACAGCAGTGGACATTTGCCCATGTTTGCCTGTTTAATATCTGCTTCCTCTTCTTCTGGTAAGAGCAACCAATTTCCCTTTAGGGAGCCCCCTGTTCCCTATCCTTATGTCAGACCAATTCAGAAAGGGCTGATTCCACATCCTGGCCTTGAGGATGGGCTTGTGACCCACGTTTGCCTATGAGAACCCTGCCTCTTCCTAGTATTTGTGACTGACCAGGGATGAAAAATCCAAGATGGACCAATGAGAGCCAGTCCTGGGATTCTGGTGGAGCTAGTAAATACCGACATTGTTAAACTTGTAGGGTGGCAGAGTTTATGAAGGTCCTCTTGCCACCATGAATGGGATGACCTTCCTAAAAATGAAACCAACACAGCGAAAAGCAGAGCAAATCAGATGGAGAGCAACAGATTCCTGATAACATCTCAGTACCCAGATCTAATGCCACCAGAAATCAGCCCTAGTGGTGGACTTTCTAGTTAAAGGGCAAAAAAATTCTCTTTTCCTTAAATTAGGTTTATGTCATTTGCTACCAAATGAGCTGAGATACATTTCCATTTCATTAATGAATAAATAACTCAGAAAGTTTGAGGGAAGTGTTATCAAAGCCTATTACTGATTGTGACTCCAGCCTGGGCAAAATGGCTTATTGCCCACCAGCCTTATCACTGTTGTTGTTAAGCGCTGTTGAGTCAGATCTGACTCATAACAACCGTGTGTACAACAGAACAAACACTGCCTGGTTCTGTGCCGTCCAAACAATCACTGCAATGTTTCAGCTCACTGTTGCAGTCACTGTATCAATCCATCTCATTGAGGGTCTTCCTCTTTTTCACCAATCGTCTACTTTACCAAGCATGATGTCCTTCTCCAGGGACTGTTCCCTCCTGATAACATGTCCAAAGTAAGCAAGACAAAGTCTCACTATCCTCCCTTCTAAGGAGCATTATGTACTTCCAAGACAGACTTGTTTGTTCTTCTGGCAGCCCATGGTATATTCATTATTCTTTGTCAACACCATAATTCAAAGGCATCAATTCTTCTTCGGTCTTCCTTATTCACTGTCCAGCTTTCGCATGCATATAAGGCAACTGAAAATACCATGGCTTGGGTCAGGCATACCTTAGTCCTAAAAGCGGTATCTTTGCTTTTTAACACTTCAAAGAGGTCTTTTGCAGCAGATTTGCTCAATGCAATACGTCACTTGATTTCTTGACTGCTGCTTCCACAGGTGTTGATTATGGACCCAAGTAAAATGAAATCCTTGACAACTTCAATCTTTTCTCCATTCATCATGATGTTGCTTATTGGTTCAGTTGTGACAATTTTTGTTTCCTTTTTGTTGAGGTGCAGCCATAGTGAAGGCTGTAGTCTTTGATCTTCATCAGTAGGTGTTTCAAGTCCTCTTAGCCTTTGGCAAGTAAGGTTGCAGTATCTGCATTTCGCAGGTTGTTAATGAGTCTTCCTCCTATCCTGATGTCACATTCATCTTCATATAGTCCAGCTTCTCAAATTATTTGCTCAGCATACAGATTGAATAACTATGGTGAAAGGATACAACCCTGACACACACCTTTTCTGATTTTAAGCCATACAGTATCCCCTTGTTTGAATGACTGTGTCTTGGTCTATGTACAGGTTCCACATGAGCACAATTAAGTGTTCTGGAATTCCCACTCTTTGCAATGTTATCCATTATTTATTATGATCCACGCAGTTGAATGCCTTGCATAGTCAATAAAACACAGGTAAACATCTTTCTCGTATTCTCTGCTTTCAGCCAAGACCCATCTGACATCAGCCGTGGTACCCCTCTTCTGAATCCAGCTTGAATTTCTGGCAGTTCCCTGTCGATGTACTGCTGCAATCATTTTTGAATTATCTTCAGCAAAATTTTACTTGCATGTGATACTAATGATATTGTTCGATAATTTCCACATTCCGTTGGACCACCTTTCTTTGGAATGGGCACGAATATGGATCTTATCCAGTTGGTAGGCTAGGTAGCTGTCTTTCAAATTTCTTGGCATAGATGAATGGGCGCTTCCAGCACTGCATCCATTTGTTGAAACATTTCAATTGGTATTCCGTCAATTCTTGGGGCCTTGTTTTTCACCAATGTCTTCAGTGCAGCTTGGATGTCTTCCTTCAATACCAACGGTTCTTGATTATATGCTACCTCCTGAAATGGTTGAACATCGACCAATTCTTTTTGGTACAGTGACTGTGTATTCCTTCCATCTTCTTTTGATGCTTTCTACATCATTCAATTTTTTGCTCATAGAATCCTTCAACATTGCAACTGGAGGCTTGACTTTTTCTTCAGTTCTTTCAGCTTGAGAAATGTTGAGCTCGTTCTTCCCTTTTGGTTTTCTAATTCCACGTCTTTGCACCCTTACCACTACACCAAGTTATTAAGAAGGAAAGGCACCTTCCGCTAGACCTTGGCCCATGATCAGTGTCAACAGACCTTCTATGTCCATGTGAGAGGCACGTCTCAGGTGATATGAGCTTTGTCCGGCACTGCAATAGACCTGAGAACCACATTTACCTCTCTCACCTCCCCACTAGCCTATAAGCTTCTTCACTCCACGGGCCAGGTCATTAATGAACAATTCAAAGAACAAGCCAAAATGGTACTACATCCCATAAAAAGGACCCTACTGTACCTTCAGTGTGCTGCTAATGACCTGCAATAGGAGGCTCAGTGAATGAGCAGTGAGAGACCTCCTCATCATCCCGGAGCCCAAGGTGAGGGGGCTGGTGGGCAGGGGCTTATTTCATAACTAAGTAATAGCTAAAATTACTTTCCAACGTCACTGGGAGACAATTACTTTGGCATTCCAATTTGGCAGGAAGTAAATATTTTATGAGGCTTATAACCATTTCCCTCCCACCTTAACCTCAAATTGCATATTAGGCACTTACCAAAGAGGTCGTCTCTCTCCTCTCATTAAATGATAACTACATCTCAAAGGCAGGCTAGTCACAGGAGGAATATTATTGTACACACTCCAGAATATCTTTAAAAGAAAAACACTTTGTTTAATACACCCAGTATCGACTTAATATGCCTCTAGATTATAAAATTAATGCATTAAAGAAAAAATTAGATTCTTATTAAGTCCTATTCATTAAAACAGATTTTTCTCAGTATCCCTTCTAATTTTCTCCTAGAAAATGCAACATAACAAAGAATGTTCCCTGAAGTCAAGCCAAGTTTTACATTTCAGGAAGCCATGGTTATTAAGGAAACATTCCTATGTAACGTGTCTGCACATAACATCGTGAAAGATCTTGCTAATGATTTTTCTGACAGGTAGATGGTATCTAATAAAGCCTGTAGTGCAATATATGTATTGAACCGTATTTTCTTGTAACATAGGTTCTCTTTTCTTTTTAAGCTGAGTAGGACTCTATTATACTTTGGATTGGGGTGTGGGAGTATAGAGGAGGAGGCAAAGAGGAACCACCTTTGGCGCTCTTTCTTCTTCCTCTGTCCCTCCTAGAAGGAACAGGGAACAGCTCAGCTGCCCAAGATACCGGGTGACCAGCAGACAGAAACAGATTATATAAAAACAATACAGCAATAGTAACAGCAAAAACAAGAATGACAACTGATACTTATTGAGAATGTTCTGTGTTCCAGGCTTTTTTCTATTAACTTCTACATGCTTATAATGCCAACCTTATGATGAGGTGCAATCATTTTTCAAGTTTTATAAATAAGGAAATCAAGGCACAGAGGCTGTTTTGCCCACAGAGACTGTCTGGTATGATTGTTAGGATTAGAATGAGGACTGAGGCTACAAAGAATAAAACCCTTCCCAGTTTGTTTGAAATGAGCCATAGAATTATTAAGTGAATGTGAAACATGGTTCTGCTGTGCTGACGTACACAAAGACTTAGCTGAGAGATGACTGTCCAGGTCTCCTAGTAGGTTTGAGGAAAACGGTACAAGTTATAGAGCAATTAGAAAAATGAATCCTAGGACATTTGAGTTGAGTAGAATGAATGGTATGGAACTTTATCTATGCTGACTGACAATACTGATGGGGTGTTTGATCCTGTTTTGTGTAAAAATTAATTGCAAGGGCAGCAACAATGAATTCTAAGATAAAACAGGAGTCAAAAAACTACATCATGGTGGATTTGTTCACTGAGAATCCACCTTGGATCTATTCTACTATAAGGGCGCTAATGGAGGGAATAGCATAGCTGAACACAGATCTGTAGTAACAGTTGTTCCTCAAATAGATATCTGTCCTTATGGAGGTGCATAGCCTATAAATGCTTTACTATTAGTGCAAATAATAAGACGACTCTAATATTTCAATTTCTGTGATATGAGTGTAAATCAGTAGAGCTGGGATTTGAACCTAGGCCACTTGAATCCCAAACCCATGTTCTTAACCACTAATGCTATTCCCTTTAAAGATACTACTATGTTTTAGTCACACCTTTCTCCAGTCTTGGAAGCCACAGACCAGGACATGGAGTCACAAGAACAGGGACACCTGTTGAAGACATTTGCCCAAAGGAAAGATGCCCTTGAACCACACTGAGCCTTAGCTCCAGCCTAGGACCCTACTACGGTGTGGCAATGAGCTTTGTAGAATGTGTGGACAAAATGATGCTAAACTGAAAACCCCTGCCTTAGGTAAAACCAAGAGGGCCCTGGTGCAAGTTAATTTCACATCTAAAAACCAACTCCCATTGAGTTGATTCTGATTCATGGTGACCCCATACGTGTCAGTGCAGAACTACGCTCCGTAGTGTTTTCAATGGCTGATTTTTCAGAAGTAGATTACCAGGCCTTTCTTCCGAGATGCCTCTGGGTGGACTCAAACTTCCAACTTTTCTGTTAGCGGTTGAGTGTGTTAACCATTTGCGGTGTCCAGCGACTCCAAATTTTCAAAAAGGCATCCCAAATCAGAATGTCTGACCTCACACTCTTGCCAAAGCTCTCAAATCCTAGCTGTTAACGTAGTGTTTGAAGCACTTTGAAAAAAAAAAAAAGTTTCTCCTGTTCCAAAAGTAAGAAAAAACACTCTAAGAATCATGCTGATGATTGTAGTTTTAGAAGCGTCTCTTGAAAACAAAAGCAGACAACTGGTTCTGTCAGTCTTGGCAAATCTGACAGGAAGAGATTACAGCCAAAGAAGATACAGCAATAGACTTAACTCTGACTTAACGTAGTTATTAAAACACATACTTGCATGTTTGTGCATGAACACAAAATGGGAGTAAAATATCTGGTGACACCATTCACAAGAGTCCCATTTTAAAAGTACTTGGCAGATAATCACTCTGTGTCCTTGCTGCAAACCTTGTCCAATATGTGGAATATTTGTTAAGCGTGTATGATTGTGAAATAGCTAGAGGAAGGAATTCTTAGCTCCTGGGGCCCTTTCACTTCCCTGTGGAGGTGAAATGGCTTTATGATGGACGCTTGACAATTCATGATTATAATTCATGATTCTCTGTAACACATTTTTTAAAAAATTGAGATGCCAAAATATTACTATAGATAGAGCCTTCCAAATATATTTCAAAAGACTTTAGGCTTATAGTTAATTCTATTCGGCCTGCAAATAGTAGATTGTAGTACATAGATTATAGATGGTAGTAAAACTAGACACAATGTTTATTAGTGATGGTTAAGTGTTTAATGATAACCTAAGGACAAAGAGAGGTGCAAGAGTTGAGCATCATTCATTCAGTCAATATTTGAGAACACCAGTTTTGCACACAGCACTGTGACAAGTCCTTGGGGAACTGAGCTGAATACCTGAGGGCAGTCCACTCCTTAGTGGATAAGTTCTCAAGCATCATTCTGGTGCCCTTCCTTGAGGAACTGAGGCAGGGTGGATGGTCTTCCAATTGAATTGAAGACCTGGATTTAAGAGCTAAGTTCTCAAGATAAACTTTAAAGCCACTTAGCCCTGAAACCCAAATTTCATCCTCTGCGAAATGGATATGACATACCTACTGCATTGGATAATTTAATGATTATATGTGGTGTCAGAGCATTTTTCTAAGGAAGTAAGGGATTGGTAGACAATAGTGACCACTTGATAAATCCCTAATCTACTAGCTATGATTACAGCAAATATGCCCCACCTGACATTCTTCTGACAAATAGATAATAATTCATCACTAAGAGAATTGGCAAATTTCTTCCTCAATTTCCTACTGGAATGTTCTGAAGAGAGACAGAGAGAAAGAATATACTTCATCCATTCTGCCACTCTCTGTCTCTTGACTGGTGCATTTAATCCATTTACATTCAGTGTGATTAATCATAGGAATGGATTCATTGCTGTCATTTTGTTATTTTTTTTTCGGTGGTGTTAAGAGTTTCTTTGTTCCTCTTAATTTTCTGTGCTGAATTATTTTTGTATATGGATTTTCTTTTCCTATCAATCAGTGTTGTTGTTTTTGTGTTTACTGAGTCTTTTATTTTCTTCTTCATTTTGGTGAGTAGATTTATTATTTTTCTTTGCGGTTACCCTGAAGTTTAGCTTTATCCTCTTAAATTTAAAACAGTCTATTATATCTTGAAATTGCCTTGACTTCCTTTCCATACATAAGTTCTATAACTACTCCTTTTATCCCCCTTTTTGTTTTGAAGTTGTCATTGTTTACAGCTCAACATCTCTGGTTCCTGTAGTCATTTTTGTAGTTTTATTTTACTTTTGTGACATCTTTATCTGAGTTGGCATCTGGGTGATGCTGCCATGAGTCTTTATCTCAAGTTGTTGTCTGATGTCATTGGTTCTCTATTTGAAGGACTCCCTTAAATATTTCTTATAAGGTTGGTCTGGTTTTTACAAATTCCCTTAGTTTCTTCTTATCTGGGAATGCCTTAGTTTCTCTATTGTTTTCGAAAGACAACTTTGCTGGATATAAAGACTGTTGGTTGGCACTTCTTTCTTTCAGGATTTTATATATGTCATCACATTGCCCTCTTGCCTGCATGGCTTATGACAAGAAATCAGCACTTAGTCTTATTGGTGCCCCTTTGTAAGTGATAGATCATTTTTCATTTTTCATGAACAGAATACTTTCTCTGTCTTTGGTTTTGGAAAGTTTGATTATGATATGTCTTGATGAATTTCTTTTAGGGCCCATTCTGTATGGGGTTTGTTGGGCTTCTTGGATGGAAACCTTTTTGGCTTTCATGATATTTGGGAAGTTTTCTGCCAATATATCTTCAAAAATTCTCTCTGTACTCTTTTCTCCTCCTCTTCTGGAATTCCTATTACACGTAAATTATTCCTCTTGATGGTGTCCCACATAACTCTTAGGCTTTCTTCATTCTTTTTTCTGGTTGTTCCTCAAACAAGTTAGTATAAAGGGATTTGTCCTCTATTTCACTGATTCTTTCTTCCATTGATTCAATTCTACTTCTGTGTCTTTCCTTTGGTTTATCTGATATTTTATTGTTAATCTTTTGAATTTCTAGTTGTTTTTGTATGGTTTCTGTCTATTGAGTCTGTCATTTTATTCTTGTATTGTTTTCCTAAATTCTTCTAGGGTTTTTTCTGTATTCTCTTTGATCTCTTTGAGGATCCTAAATCTAAGTCTTTTGAATTCCTTCTCAGGTAGTTCTATTATCGTCTGTTCCTAGGAAGGTTTTCTTTCTCTTTATTTTGCTCACTTGTTTGAGCCATCTTATCCTGTTTCTTCATATGATTTGTTATTGTCTGCGGTCTCTGAGATATTAAAGTGTTATTTTATTTATTTATTGTATGGTTGTTTTGTCCTGATTTGTTTTGTTTTGATATATCGGGGTGGGTGGGTGGGCATGCTCCACTGATCACCAGACTAGTGGGAAGGGAGCACTCCCCACTTATTGCTGGGTGGGAAGGAGGGTGTTGGCAGGGTGGGGATGGGAGGGGTGGGTACACTTTGCTGATCACCAGGCAGGTGGGGCGGTGGTGGAGAGCAGGCTGGACAGCGACAGGCAGCAGGCAGGGCAGGCATGCACCATTGCCAGTTGTCGGTCCAGTGGTGCAGG